CCCCCCTCCCCCCGGCCGGTGCCCACCCCCTGCAGCCCCTGCCGGGCCTGGGGTGGGGGGGGCCAGGGCCGGTTCTCTTTGCCCCCCCAGCCCTGGTGCCCCCCGGCCAGGGGCAGCGGTGTCGCCGGGAGCATCGTGTCGTCCCCCCCCCCAGCTGCGGCCCCTTCCAGCTCACCGGCCGCCTTTTCTATAACCAGCCGTGTCGTTTTAGTGACTTTTTGATAATGTACAGGTTTTGTGAATTTAAATTTATTTCTTTCTATATTTTTAGGACCAATCTCATTTTTAATAAGGTTTAAAGGAGGAAAGGCAGACTCTAGCCCTCCTCTCCGTTGCCTGTTGATGTCCCCACGAGCTGTAGGACCCCGCGTGTCGCGTTCGAGAATAAACAACTCACGTTTGATAGACACATGCTGGTCTGAACCCTCTGTGGGAGCGGGGGGCTATGGGGGGGCTTGGGCTGGGGGGCGGACCCGGGCTGTGGGGTGCTGCGGGGCCCTTGGGGCAGAGGGGGGTTGCTTTGGGGGACCCTGAGCTGCAGGGGGACTGCGAGGACTCTCCCCTTGCTCCCCCCCACCCTCCATCTCCCCACATGACGAGTCATTTGCTTTTCTTGCCTTTTTATTTAAAAACAAAAAAAACCAAAACCTCGAAGGGGGGGGCTGTTTGGGGGGTGGGGGCCGAGCGCGGAAGCAGGAGGAAGAAATACAAAACTAGAAACCTCTCGAGATTTTAAAAAAAAGCAACTTAAAAACCTGTACAAAATGCGCTACGTATAAATTAAAGGGGGGGCAGGAGGGGGCCGGGGGGGGGCCTCGGCTTTCTCCTCTGCAGCTCAGGCCCCCCAGGGCCAGTGGGACCTCGACACTCAGTCCCCCCCGGCAGCAGGGTGGGGGCTCAGCATGGGGGTCCCAGGGCCCCCAGGCCCCCAGGAAGGGGGAATGGGGCTGCCTGTGGGTCTCCCTCTTTGGTTCCTTCCTTGGGGGGGTCTGTGCCCCCCGACCAAAGGGGCCATGCCCGGGGTGGGGGGGGCCGGGCAGTAGCAGCAACAGGAGAGGTGGGTGATGGCTGGAAACCGGGGGGGGGGTGGCGTCACCCCAGGCAGGGGGCAAAGGGCCGCAGCCCCCTGCCCCCCCAGGCCTGGGCTGAGCATGCACCGAGCTGTGGGGTGAGGTAGATGTGTGGCAGGGGGTCCCCGCTGCCCCGGGG